TCACAAGGGCTGAACTGCAGTTCTGTAACTAACCAACTAGCTCTTCACTTCACTGTAATGTAAAGTAAAGCTATCCCTGTAACAGGACATGGAGGCCCATAGGGCTGTGAGACGTCGAGGTTCCCACATATTCTAGACAATCGGCTCACAGGTGGCAGTGAGTTTGGCAGCCTTACGTGCCGGCCGCCCTTTATCTCCAGGAATATTCCTGGTACTCATTTCTATTAGAGGCTGAGTCGACCCCAGGGCCATAGTGCGGCTGGAAGCATTAGGTAAATTGAAAAAAAAATCCACCTAATCGGGATTCGATCCCGCGACCTTCCGGCTTGTAGCATAGTGCCTCAATCATCTACGCTACCGTGTGCCCCCTTCACTTCACTGTACTAAATCGAATTCGCTCTACTGATCGTCCTGCTTATAACTACCAGGCACCAACCGTACAGAAAACACCTTTCCTCTGTTGCGTGCGCAGCCATCGGCGTGGACCACACAGAAAACACCTTTCATCTGTTGCTGTATCCATTGTTGCGTGCGCAGCCATCGGCGTGGACCGCGCAGAAAACACCGCTTTCCAGCCGGTCCATTGGCACTTGTTAGGAATATGTTGCATAGCAACGGGCGTTGTTTACAGTCATTACTTAGCAACGGGCCTACATGCTACAATACATCTCATTTCAAATGTCGGAATTTATTCTTGCGAGGCAAGTCAGCTACGTTCTACAAGTACATGTAAAGTGTAAGTTTCTGTGGACGGATCTAGAATGATAAATACAGTCCAGATAACTTGGCTAGATTTGAGTTTTCAAAGCGGAGACTACGAGGCGTTCCCCTACATTTACATCTCTGGGTTAACGCTAACGTTCATCAGAGCTGCTTACTACCTAGGCTTATCCTACGACCCTGAAGACGGAGAAGGTATGTTCATTCGAAACGTCGGTGAACTAGATGGCGTCACGTTCCAGAAGATAGTACTCATCTCAGTCATTTAGTTATTAAGTAAACTGTATTTTCGTTCATTATCTGTGTTTACTGAACTTACGGAAAATTTCTGTCCTCTTGCTCTTCCATTTAAGGAAAACAAGAAAAGGGGTGAGGTGGAAGCGAGCAGAAACTGAATGTTTTGGGGTTCTGTAGCATAATGATAGTACTTGTGCAGGATGTGGGCATTCCACCCCATTGTTCTGCGGAACTTGATGCTCGTCAGGTAATGTAGGTTTGTTGCAGTGGTTTGGGGGTGTTGACTAGAGGGGTGGAAACCCTCACCCCGCCCTAATTTACTTCGACGCAAACAAAGAAAACTCTAACCTCATTCATTATAACTGACACGTTTCTTTTATAGCCGATGTCGGATTTCCCCCCTTAGACGCTTAAAAATTAACACATCCAAAATTGGATATAGCCACAAGCTGCGTTAAGTCACAGTCCTGACTTCTAGTCTGCGGGGGGAAGTGCGGAGAATGATGACAGGAATCACGGGGTAGTGGTTGCAGTTGCATTATGGGAGGGAGGCGGGGCTAAAATCACGGAAGGTAATTAAAAAAAAAGCAGTGAGAGAAAAAGTGTGGAAGGGAGGAAGGAATGTAAATGGAAGAAAAACCAAAAAAGAAAGGGAAGACAGAACGGAAGGAAAGAGATAGGAAGAATGAAAAGGGGAAAGAAAAGAAGCAAAGAAAGTTAGAGACGACTCCATGAAGTTTTATCAGTCCACGCCCCTCGTTCTATTATTTTTTGGATTCCTTCTTTAACTGCGACGTTTCTACACAGTTCTCTTTGATATCCTTTGTTCTGTACGTGGTTTCATATTCGGTTATGCATGGTCAGTGTCAAACAGTTGTTCCGAATTTGAAAGAATTACCCGTAGATAACTCGTAAAATTTTAAAATGAAAATTCAGACTACCATCGCAAGTACAGTGCAATTGCATTTTATGCGAATTTGAATTATTCGTATTTGAAATATTGCGATATAAAAATATTATTAAAAAGTCTCACTTAACGCCAAATTTTGAAAATATGAGAATCTAAAAAAAATCCGGCAAGAATCATGCATGTGGTTCAAAACTTGCATGAATTATGCGAGGTCACAAGGAACTCATCCCGCACTGTACTTGAGCTTAAATAAGAGAAGTGCTGTTTGCCATAAGGGAGAAAAAGATAATTCAAACATTATGAATAAGAATTTCTCAAGAGGACTGTACCATAAAAATAGGTCCTGCTAGATAAATGTACAGTAAAACTGCCCCTTTGCTTAATTAAGCTTTGCGTCATGAAGGCGTACAGGGCAGCGAAGACATAGCTTCATGCATTTTACCCTGAGACATAGTTGGGTGTTAGTTGTCAGCTGCACGCTCCGGCTGATTTTAGCGTAGGGGAAGAAACTTTGATGTTGGCCTCAGTGCCTATCTGGAAGCTGTAAAAGAGCCAGAAATGACCCCTACGTCGGTCAGGCGCAGTTTGGTCGCTACATTGATGACATCGACTCCCATTGTAGATAAAAGTAGAAGTATCTAGCTAGACAAAGAAGTAGACCGGTAAATGTATAGGTGAGAAGAGCGTGAACGAATATGGACCCATTCAGCTGGGTACAAATATTTTCCAGATGATTTGTTTGCAGTTTTTTTTTAGCTTATCAGATTGACCTTGATGTTTTCTAATTTTGGATGTAATTATGTTGCAAAGCTTACCATGTCACAGAATCGCTGATTGATCTCATTGTTTTGTACTTCGCTTTGACCTTGGTTTTAATTTTATTACTGATAAAAATATTACAAGGTCAAGTTAGCCGCATTGTAAATATTACGGTGCATAGCGTAATAAATTTTTCTTCCCTGTATTATGCCAGTTGTTCATAATGTGGCTCATAGACCCGTTGCTAAGCAGGGACTCTTTAAACAGAGACTGTTGCTACGCAACGTCTCCATAAACACGTTCCCGTTTATTAGGCATCAGATTCTTAATAATGTAACAGTTGGAATGCAACAGTGTAAACGGGATGTTTCTGCGTCGTCTTGAAGACAACTGGGGTCGTCCAGTCAGATCTGTACGGGAGTCTGGAGGACTGGAGCGGGAGGCAGAGGAATAACCATTGTTAGAGCCGTTATCAGGAAACGTCTAGTAACAGGCTGAGAACACTAGACTATGTGCTCCAGTGAACTGAGAACTGTAAAGTGTGGAAACAGCAATAGTGTTATAGTCATTTGTAGTTACGATATGCAAGTGGCCAGTAAATCTACAGACCCCGTCTATAGTCACTCATACATGTACGTGACAGTAATATCTAACGAAAAGTGTTTCGAATTGAAGCTGTAGATCTGAATAATAAAGTGAAACGTAAAGTTATATTTTAGAATCTCTCTGCAGTGACTAAAAAGAGGACGATGTTCATGCTTGCAAGCTTTCCGCCTGCTTCTTGTGGTTACTAGCCTAGCTTACTCTTCGACGCTGAAGATGGATGCGATGTATTTCTCCGAAACGTCAAACTTTCTTGCAACTACTCGGCGCTAAAAGTTAGAAAATCGTTCTCTCCAAAATATAAAATTTGTACTTAATTAAACACCACGTCACCGAGACATACACTGAGTTTCGGTGTCGTTTCAGGCAACCTTGACTTGAGCACTAATGGAAATGAATCGTTACCTTCACGCCTCGGCCGCTTTATCTCAGGGAAACCAGCCTGTGGAAATAATTCGACAGGAGGCTGGATGGGCCCCAGTGCCGGTCTGGATGCTGCGGGCGTGGGGGTTTCTTGCATGTATCGATTATCGAACGACACCTCTCGATGGTCCAGGTGATAGCCTATTCTCTATGGGGACCGAGCTAATATTTACACCTTACATCATTAGTCGGATCGCACATTATGTAACGTAGTTACTACGTAATTTGCTGATGGACACCAACAATAACATCGCTGTCCAAGTCACACTGTGATATCGTATTAGTTTGGGGGCACGCGGTAACATAGTTGGTTGAAACACTATGTTACAAGCCGGAAGGTAGCGGGTTCCAGTCCCGGTGAGGTGGATTTTTTTCAATTTACCTAATTCTTCCAGTCACACTGTGGCCCTGAGGTCGACTCAGCCTCAGAAATGAATACCAGAAATCTTCCTGGGGATAAAGGGCGCCCGGCGCATGAAGCTGACAACCTCACCGCCTTCTGTGGGTCGATTGTCTAGAGAAAATGTGGGAACCTCGACGTCTCAACCCAATGGGTCTGCACCGCCTGTTACAGGGATACCTTTACTTTTTTGTGTACCTTTTATCATATTAGTTGAAATCCGTACGGACAGAAATGAACTCATTTTGCTCCTGATTTATGCTGCGTGCGCAGATTGTGCACAGACATGTCAGTTTGTAATTAAAAATAATTCATGCAAGAACTAGTTTTGTTATTTGAAGACTGCCATTTCATTAGATGTTACACCATGTAGTCTGGTAGAATTTTATCGACGTGCTTGCTGCGCGCTTATGTGACTTTCTCGTCAACCGTTACTATGGAGACAGTACGTTTCTCCGAAACGTCACTACACTTCTACCAGACCATGCTGTAATTTTCCACAAGATAGTACTCTTCCTGTGGTCTAGTAGTCAGAGTTCCTGCCTACAGATCCATGGGTCCGGGTTCGATTTCCGGCGCTACCAGATTTTCTGAGAAGTAATGGGTCTGGAACGGGGTCCACTCAGCCTCGTGAGGATAATTGAGGAACCATTTCAAGGAGATAGCGGCTCCGGTCTAGAAAACCAAAATTAACGGCCGTGGGGATTCGTTGCTCTGACCACGCGACACCCTCTATCCGCTAAAGTTGGCACTAACTTCGCCGACAAGCAGCGGTCGCTCGGTCGGCATAGTTCGCTTGCGGACTGTAGTCCACGTAGTTTGTTTAGTACTCTTCATAGTCACTGTCGCGGGAACGTCACGTCTCACGGTTTGTCATTTATTCTGTAGTGTTAGATGAGAGGTGTGAGCATCAGATGTGTCACGGTGTCGTGTTTGTGTGTGTTCCAGAAACGTGGGTGTGCAGAGTACAGAAGTTGTGAGACTACCTCAGCCTCAGTACCTGATCGGAGCCTCACCATTATGCACCCAGATCAGCGGTCTGTCTCCGGGTCAGACCAAGTTGTGCCAACTATACCAGGACCACATGAGTGGCGTTGGGCGTGGGGCCAGAGCGGGAATCGCGGAGTGTCAGTGGCAGTTCAGACACAGACGGTGGAACTGCTCCACAGCGCATGACAGTACAGTGTTCGGACCCATGCTAAAGATAGGTGAGTGGGAGACTGACCTCACTTCTCACATAGAGCCGAGTGTTTAATTGTGTGCCACCTGCTTTAATGTATTCAAACTCTGCGTTCTGCCCACGGGATGTACGTTCTATACTTTTCATATGACTCTCAAAATAAAAAGAGACTGTTTTCCTAAGTCGCATTAACTGGTTGGTCTTTGTCGCTGAGACGTAATGTGTTTCCTGCGAGGTACGAGCTGAATTTTTATAAATCATTTACAAGCAGTTTAGTCTTTAAAGTGCCAGGACCTTTATGAGGGCTTGTTGCACTCCGAGTAGGCAACCTTACGGAGGAAAAGTCCCTGTGTGTTCAACAGAATCTACGGCATGGCGATTTCGGTTCCCATTTTGTGTAAGAAATAAAACTGAATAATTTCTAAGACGACGTAATGACCTTACTTCACTATCTGATGATGACGCAACTCTGAAGATGTTTTAGACAAGAATTGTGTTTTCTGAGATATAACACCGTGTAGACCGATGAAAATTAACCAACCTGTCTTTTCGAAACGTCGGTTGACTTTCACTTGGATACACAGCGTTATATCCCAGAAGAAAGAACTGTTCATGCACCGGGTTGTGTAAACCTCAAATCAGATATGTAAGATTTGAGTTTTTCACGGCGGTGACTATGAAGAATGCCGTCTTCTGGGATGTGGCGCTGTGTAGATCTTGTGTGACATTGGTAGATGGCTAGGCAAATAGAATAATTGATTAAGTTAGTGACTTTTGTTTCCTGGTACATTGTATGAATGTTTGTTTTTGCAAGTTGCTCTGGGGAACTTGTTGTCGAATAAATTTGCGTTTGTTGTGATAGGTGTATGTTTGCTACAACATCTCGTGTTGTTAGGTAGACAGATGGACGCGAGCCACTATGGAAGTTAACAAAGATATTTATTTCTGCTGATTTCATGTGTAAATTCAGGGGACGTGCCAAGTACAAATATTATAAAATTTCTTATCATATCTAACGAGGAAATCTGTTACATGGGAATTATAATTGCAAAAGTGATGAGTCATTTATTTGAAGAATACTGTCATGTGTGATCTGGCGTCATATAACTGGTTGAAGTTCTCTGAATTTTCGGGGGAACATACTGGCTCTGTCTTCAGAGTCGAAGTGAAAGTGAATTAAATAACCAGCAAGATGCAGGAAACAGGCAGAGCGAGATGGCTGTCTCCTTCTTGCAGGTTCCTTGTAATTTACTCTCGACCATGAACCTGAAGGTGGTACATTTTTCCAGAAAAGTCTGTCAATTTTTACTGGACTATCCAACTATAATTTGGAATTTTACTAGTATCACTTTGAAAGAGATATTATTATCTCGAACTCGCAGGAGCTGACCTCTTCTATATTTAATTACACGTACGTTTCCTTTATCTCCTGTCGCATTCACACCCAACTACTCTTAAATAAATAGAAGTGCAACTTGGCACGATATTCTCTCTGTATAGAATTGACATCCTTTGTAAATAACTTTGCCATAAAATCTTTCCTTCTGCTGGAATAAGCTTGAATCATTATTTATACCAGTTGTATACCAGAAACACTTGTGAATTGAGTTTTGAGGCTTGTTTAGTCTGGCTGAGTATGGATCTCTTGTCTGCCCATCATTAAATCAGTTTCCCTGCCTTTGTTTACTTGTGTGGAAGAAAAAACTGTAAGCGGGTGATTGGGGGAAAGGACTCCCTTATTCGTTTGTAATGATTTACGCCAAATGCATGTGTAAAAGTTACGCCTAATCGGTCAAAGCCATTTCTTCCCTCTCTGTTCCCCCCGTGCACAATATCGGTGAGCCAAGAGAAGCCGAATCAGGGATCCAAACCTGTTCCTATAAGATGTTACAGATTAAACTTCTCTTTTCGTATTAAAAAAAAAAATACATTTTCAGAATGGAAGGGTAGTTTATATCTTAGCCGGTTCCTTCGGCCCTGCGGCGCTCAGATCACAGGTAAAATGGGCATTCATTTATACAAAGCAAGAATTGTAATGTTGCGTTTCGTTTTCTGAATGATTCTTGGATGACTTGAGTGCTATAAAATGTTTAGACGCGAGGTGTGCCTGTGCTTAAAATTGAACACTTCTCGTAGAGACTTAGGAAGGTAAGGTAAAGTTGTCCCTGTGCTTAACTAATTAAGCACTACGCCATGAAGACGTATGGGGGAGCGGATAGAGTGGGTAGATCCACATTTTCTTGACCTCAGCACTAGCTGGAGGTGAGTGGTCAGCTTCATGGCCCGGCCGCTCTACCCCCGGGGAAATAGCCCCTGTACCCATTGGATAGGAGGTTGGGTGAACCACAGAGCCGGTCTGGACGAAGTGGGGAAGAGATACTTTTTGACCCTACCGGGACTCGAACTCCGACCTTTCGGTCGTCCAGCCCGAAGTCAGTCGCTGTATCGACTGAGCTATCCTGGCTCTGATTTTGAAGGTATTTTTTTTTCCTAGGCACTACAGCCCCAGTGGGCCTAGGCCTACCTCCATGAACTCCGTTCACTTCGGTTTTTCTAGATCTTACACATACGGTAGGACTCCTTGGGCTACTGATCAGCTCGTCGCAAGGCCTCTACCTGTACACAAACACAGAAAAACGCACACAAACATCCATGCCCTGAGTGGGATTCGAACCCACGATCCCGACTTCCGAGCGAGCGAAGACAGTGCATGCCTTAGACCTCTCGGCTGTCGTGCCCGGCTTTTGAAGGTATAGGTCCATGAATTAAATGAAGGTGAAGAGTCGGCGTTGCTTCTAGGAAAAAAACAAACATAAAGACTTCAATGCTGAGGGTTTGACGCACGGTAAGGCGATGTGACAAGTGTATCAATGTTGGTGGAGAGCATGTCGAGAAATAAGCGTTTTTTTCCAGGTTTGAAATCACGTGTTTTACGTTTTATATCCATTTGTGACTTGATGTTATCTGTTGTTGTTCCTGACGGAAATTGGCACGCGATGAACTTGGCAGATGTCTGCGAAACACGGCAGTAATCGGATTACGGTAGCGGGAAGTGATACGGAGGTGGTCTGCCACGTCAAGAACAGCTTATGTTACTGACATACAAGAGTAAACAAAGTAAGCGCTGTGTGGTACGCAGGAAAGAAATTACTGAACCCGGGCGACAGTTACAATTCCTCCCTCGGAGGGGCAGAGGACATGACTGACCAGTGACCAACATCAGTCACGCTCTCATTCATGGAGGTGAGCCCTTTGGGAAGCAGCCAAATCTGCAGCCACTCAAGAACTTCCCAGCATTTTATGGAACCCGAATGTTCATTACCGTGTTCACAAGAGCCCTCCCCTGATCCCTATCCTGAGCCAGATCTATCCAATTTATACCATCTTATCCTATCTCTCTAAAATCCATTTTAATATTGTCCACCCAGCTACGCTTTCGTCTTCCCAGCTGTCTCTTTCTATCTGGTTTTCCGACCAATATCCTATATGCATTCCTCTTCTCCCGTATTCATGCTACATGCACTGCCCACTTCATCCTCCTTTATTAGACATTTTGCTAGAAACTGAAAACGTGGCTGTGTAGGGACAAACACTCTTGTCAGCAGCACTCGTAAAGAACGGAGCATTTAGCACTTCTGGGTCCCAGGCTTTACGAACCTGATATATAGGATAGGTGTGTCTTAGGAGATGAGGATAGTGGTCAGTTTCTGCGGCTGCCTATGACTAAATATATATACATTTAATTTAGGGGCAGGCGTTAGCGTAGTTGGTTGTGGTACTATGCTACAAGTTGGAAGGTCGCGAGTTCGAGTCTCGAGGAGGTCATTGGACTTCTCAATTGACTTTCCAGCCGCACTATGGCCCTGTGGTCGACTCAGTCTCTCACAGAAATGAGTACCAAGGATCTTGCTGTGGATAAAGGGCGGCCGGCGCTTAAGCCTTACAACCCCACCTCCATCTGTGAACCGATTTTCTAGAAAATGCGGCAGCTTCGACGTCTTACAGCCCTATGGGCATCCACGGCCTGTTACAGGGATAGCTTTACCTTTTTTATATTCATTTTGTGTTGTAATATGTGTTGATATTAAACCGGCATTGTAGAATATTTATAGGGCTTCAGGACAGTTCTGCAGTCGGTAGTTCTGTTGTCACGCCGAGACACATTATAGTGCTGTGTGCGCTTACTTTGCTTGAAGTTTATGTATAAAAAGCGCACTGGCGAGTTCATATCCTTCTGCATGTTTTATTTTCAAAATTATTAAATGCTTTTAGATGAAATTTGGTATTAGTTGGTATCTGCACCTAATTCGTGCCGACAATATTATTTTGATAACACGTACATATCTGTGGCACTTAGCGAGAACCTCAAAGCATGAATTTTCCCAGACAAATTTCAGAATAGTATTTCAAATGACACTGTAGCTTCGTTCCAAATCCTTTTCAATTCATTATTCACCAGTGATACTATCATTTGGAGCTATATAATATAGACGGTTGCAGGAGTTTTTAAATAAATCAAGGCTAAATAATGAATTCATTTGAGAGAGATAATTTTTTTCTTTGTACATCGCATTAGCAACAATTTTGTGTCCATTTCAGCTGCACAGAGCTCTTTGCGGCTGCTCCAGGAAATCGCTGCTTTAATTGAACTAATCTAATTTGTAACAGATGTAATAAGCTGTTTAGAAATCAAGAGCACGTAGGAAGCAGACTGAGTGCAGAATTTTAATGACTCTTTACCGACTTCTAAAGCACTTTGTAACAAATTGTCGGCCTTTCGCAATTTAATGGAGCAGTGAAAAATTACATCGTAGACCAATAGACACAGCTTTAATATAACATGGATCATGATCACTGGCACGGCAGCCCTTTGTGAGCCCTGGCCTTCCTCAGGATTGCTCGCCATTCTACTCTATTCGTTGTTACATTCCTCCAGTTCCTACACACCCAAAATTCTTATGTCCTGCCACACACATTCTTCCCATCTCAATCTTGGTCTTCCCACTTTCCTATTTCCTTCTGGTTTAG